AACTAATGAAATGAAATGGAGTTTTATATCCTACTGTTCTGTATCTTATTGGACTAATGAAATGAAATGGAGTTTTATATCCTACTGTTCTGTACCTTATTGGACTAATGAAAAGAAATGGAGTTTTATATCCTACTGTTCTGTATCTTATTGGACTAATGAAATGAAATGGAGTTTTATATCCTACTGTTCTGTATCTTATTGGACTAATGCAATGAAATAGAGTTTTATATCCTACTGTTCTGTATCTTATTGAACTAATGAAAAGAAATTGGGTTTTATATCCTACTGTTCCGTATCTTATTGGTCTATGTGGTATTGGAATTGTTAGTCGTGCCGACAGAGCAAAGTTTTGTGCAAACTTATTTCGAACTTACCGATACAAATATTCAACAGCAAGAAACAAACTAGTCCTTTCATCTTGGTTAGTCTTGGTACGTCTGTTTTACTAAATCAAACGGTGTGACCTACCCTGGTGAAATAAACAAACAGACGTCAGTTTTCTCACAACTGATAGCCTATCGGTCTATTATTTCACAATCTGATTAAAAAACAAATCCGTATGTTTCCGAATTGATTATTGATTGCTAAAACACTGATTGACATGCCAACTGTAAACGGTATTTTTTTTGGTTGGTTGGCTTATATGATTAATCTTTTAACGCTAGGCCTATCAAACATTTTCCTGAACATGATTTAAAAAAGACTTTTGTCAGATCATTGATGATGAGTGAATATAGCCTAGTAGGCTTAGGCTACACCTAACCTGCAGAAAAAAAACCTTCCGAAATATTTCCGAATTATTCACATAGAGTTATATAGCTATCGGCTCACATACGACATATTTCACTTTTAATTTTAAATTAAAAACCTAGGTGAAAATTAATTTTGAATTAAAAACTTTAATTTTCACCTAGGTGAAAATAATTTCCACCTTCAAAATAAAAAGTGGAAAATGTCGTACGTGAGCCACCGTAGATTTCAAATGAAAGGAGCAGGCCTATGTGTGTGACTTTTCCCACGTCTGAAATAGTTGTCCTAAAATCTCAATGACGAGGCAAAGGCTATGGTCTATTTCAGTATTTGTCACGATCTATCTCCCCCTCACGAACCTACTATCAGAAATATTTCCGAATCATCAATTTCAGTCCACGTTTTGTTCTTTTCACAAACATCCAGGGGGTGGGGGTAATTGAAATGGGGCGTAACTGAAAATGAATTTTCACGCTTCATATACTTTCGTTTTCTTAGTTACCCCGAATTCTAAACCAATCAAATCAACGGATAATAATCTATATTTAGAATATCTCGCGCTATCTCGTGTGCACATTAGTAAAGCACGTTGAAGCCAAAATGTCGGACGAAGAAATGTCACCGAAAGAAGTCGACTCGTCTGAAGAAAATTCAGTCGAAATGGTGCCCGATGACGAGTAAGTTTCATATAGTCATTCAGAAAAAACATGGTTTTATGTCGTGGAACAGTCAATGGGCTCTCAATAGTTCACTTTATGGGTCTAATTTCGAAAAAACGGGATTAGAAATCGTAGAAAGTTCTGGAATTTGACACAAATTGTACTTCCGGTTTCAGTAAGACTCATGGAATTGATCGGAAATATTTTAAAAAGCCACTACATAGGAGAATAACGATCTAAAAGAAACCTTGATCGTAAGATAGGGACTTTGTGTTCTTATTGACTTTCATTTTCTTTTCATTTTGTTGGATTTCAGTAGAATCCTGTGACTGTACTTTCGTAACATTACTTAACGGCAATGTTCGAACCTAAAATTCCTAGAAACCTAGTGTTTTGTGAAATCAAGTACCAACTTAATCGTGAAATTTATGTCAAGGGCGGAGATTTCCCTTCTTCAAACAACTTTGTAAATTTAGCCTATCCCTCGTCTCAGTGTATTTTAAAAAAGAGTAAACGTTAAAACACAGATGTTTTTGTCTCTGAAAGTGAAACTAGAATAATTGAAATATGGATGTATCATGTATATTTTTAGCAATGCAATGGTATTTCTGTAGCATCGGTAAACTTACGTCATTGATTTTGGAGCTTTTAATTGAAAAAAACTTTTTACTTTGTTTATAAACAATAAATACAATAGAGTTGAAACAGGCTTTTGCTAAATGTATTATGTATTTTAATAAGCTTGATAAACTTTCAGTGACAGCGTTGTGATTATTGAAGACCCAGTTATTCTAGCAGAAGATAAAAAAGAAGAAGGAAATTCATTTTATAAACAGAAAAAATATAAAGATGCAGTTTCTTGTTATACAGAGGCCATTAGTAAGTCCTTGAATACTCCTCGATCATTTTTGGCATGTAGTGGTTTCCTCCCTTTACAAGTTCCTCCCTAGTGGTTTCCACCTCTTTTTAATCCTAGTGGTTTCCTCCCCTATTCAGTTATTATCAACTGTCTTGGATTTCTTTAGGCCCTTAAAGGAGTTGTAAAGTGGTTTTCTAGAAAATGTATATGTATAGAATACATATACAGTGACGGCATCGATTTGCACCATTCAAATTTTCAGTCAGACGTCTGTGGTTCCTTTTAAATTACATGATTCATTATTGAAATGATTGCACACTTTCCTTCACAGATATTTACTGTGAAAATGGCTGATATTTCAGGCTGAAACAACTGTATTTTCATACATCCAATTATAAATTTGTCATTGGTAGAGATTTCCACCAATTAGTGCTAGGTTTTGTCAAATGATCATTTTCCAGGCAATAACAAAATATATAACAAGTAATTGAAAGGTTTTCTGTTGACACATTAGTGTTCACAAATGGAATATTTCATACATTTGGATGATGGTTATAAATTTTGTCCAGTAAGCTTATATCTGGAGTGTTATCATCAAGGATTTAGAATTATACGATATGCGTATCTTGGCATAACATGTCTCGTTGTATCTATTCTGATATATCGTGCCTTAAGACCAAAATGAGATTCAGTAAACATAAGGGCTGCAACGATTCCTAAAGTGGCGATCCGATACTTGCGATAATAAATCGCGATTCTTTGATTAAAAGGGAAGGAAAAAGTAAAACTGATAATTAATAACATTTTAACACAGTTCAAATTATTTTGGCAAGCTTAGAAGTACAAAATTCACTTTTCATCATTTGTTACACACAAGGACTAACAAATTTCTTCAAAAATATAAAGAAATTACCAAACCATCGAATATAGCTTCATGGAATTATTTTATGACTATGCAAACACATATTACGTTGGAAAAAGAAAAAGTTTATATCAGATCCCATGCGTTTATCTTCCACTTGGCATATTAATATGTTCTCTTTTCATCGTTTATAACAAAAATTAAAAATGCTGAAGACAAATTAATACGTGAAAATCAATTTTTTAACATTTGAACATGACGCAATACGCTAAAATACGCTAGGATTCCATGCTATTAGTCATTAAAGGGAGTTAATTATATTTATGAGAATCGGGCCGATGTATCACAATTATTTTTTTCTTCGCAATGCATCGATAAGAAGGAACGAATCGCGGTTCATCGATTCAACGGTGAATCGTTGCAGCCCTAGTAAACATTGTTATTGGACAGTTGTAACTTGATGTGTGATTTTTCCAGATCTTTGTCCGACATGTGCAGCATATTACAGTAACAGGGCAGCAGCCTTGATGATGTTATACAAATATCAAGCTGCTCTAGAGGATGCACAACAATCTGTCCAAATAGATCATAATTTTATAAAGGTAGGTATTGAAAACTTTTACACAAAGGTCTTTCATATTATAGACTTTTGTTTATTTAGATTACTCGTGGTTGTTTTTTTAACTTAATACTAACTATGCTAACTTCACCTTCTCTTGTATTGAACATTTATCTCTTTATTTGTGACCTTGGCCAGTGCTTTACATAGAAGTTTTTAGGAACTTCTTCACTCTTAACACAAAGGTGATAAAATTAATATCTTCCCTATAAAGTTGTCATAAGACATAATAAAGATCTCCTCTCAGGATTGCCATTACCAGGGAGTTCGAAATATTCGTTACAGGTTGACACAGACAACAAACTACTTGTGAAGTGCTGACTGTGGCATCAGAATATTTCTTACTTCTGTAGTCTGATTCAAACTCATAGCACCTAATTGCCTAGCAGATGACTATGAAACTTTCATACTTATTAATTCCACTGCCACTGTTTGCAAATAAAAGATTTGATGTGTGAAAGTCGTTAATATTTTTATTTTAGGGTTATTTACGAGAAGGAAAATGTCATTTAACGTTGGGGAATGCATCAGCTGCCATCAGAAGTTATGAAAAGGTTTTGCAATTAGATCCCAAAAATACTACGGCCCAAAATGAGGTAATTTTTTTGATATCTGATTTCCGGTCTGAGAAATTAGATTGATTAAAAACTGATTTAAAACAAATTGTATGTTAAAGCTGAAATGAGTTCTATAGCTCTCCTGAATGCTTGACATAATAGCTGGTTAATTATCTTTTACAAAGTAAAGTTGTAAATTATGATACTGAAATCCTTCTTTCTCTGAATAACTTTGGAATATTTTCTTTATTTCAGTTACAAACAGCTAAAATTGTATTTGAATTAACAGAGAAAGCAGATAAATGTTATGATAAAGAAGATTTTCGTACAGTAAGTCTATACAGGGACAGATTCATCATCTGTTTGACTAATTGTATCTTTAGGGATGGGAACACGAACTGTCTTGGTCAGAGCTTGTTTGTAGCCGACTAGACTTTTGTCAAAAGTTTCACCGTCTGGCACATGCGCAGTCTCCAGTCGCTCGTTTTCCACCATGTCGATAATCAAGTGCAGAGTATGCAATTGAAAAGAAAAGGAATCTGATTGGATGAGACAATAAACCTATAAAACTTGTGTGATATTATAAACTCCGCGATAATATTGTGTTTTATTCAGGACAAAATCTCCGACCCAAACCACTTATGTGCCCGCACCTTTAGTCTCATTTTAACATGCAAATGCGTATAATTCTGGACGCTCAAATTTCGACAGTGAGTTGTGAACGCCATTAATTATTAGCTTAGCAAGATACGATTGGTCAACCTGTTTCTTTAAAAAAAAAAGATTTGGCAATCACTGCTGACTGTTCTAGGTGTTTCTGTCTATCTATACGAATTGTAACAAGTTTTTAGAGCCATTTTGTATTTACACTAATAAGTCTTGAAAGACAGTTTAGGATTTTTGCTTCATAGACAAAAAACCCTAGTTACTGCCCTGGCCACTTCTCAAAATGATCTTAGCACTAGGATATCCTAGAAACAGAGATAGAAATTAAGACCCTAGGACATCCTAGCGCTAAGATTTTTTCGAGAATGCAAGGCTAGACTTACAAATATGATGCTGAATTCTACTAAATATATGTCTATGTATTATAAATGAAGACTTCAGGGCAAGTTGATAATGTGATTAAACTACATTTTGTTTTCTAGGCTATGTTTTATTGGGATAAATGTTTAGTTCATTCCCCTGCTTGTCATAAATTTAAAATCCAGAAAGCTGAAAGTTTAGCCTTATTAGGGCGCTATCCAGAATCAGAGGAATTAGCAAAGTAGGTTGATTTCATAAATTATTAGTGCTCACACGAATAGTCGAATAATTAAATTCAAATCCGTTTCTACGAATATTAGAGTCGGATTTTACCATTCGATTATTCTTACGTAGGCCTACATCGACTAACTTGATTTGTAAAAAAGTTCATTCTGAAGTTTTGAAATTCTCCCTGTCAATAAGGTTGATCTGCTAACTTTGTCTACTACGTTACCAGGGTATCTTTCACAAACTAAATAATATTGTTAACAAGAAAAGGGCTACATTGGATCCCGATACTGTCGACCGACCGTATTTATCTATTGGCTTTAAAAGTTGACTTTCGGTCGTCCAAATATGCCACAGCCTTTTTATATTTTCGTATCTTTTCACGCTGTGTAACTGTTGAAATATGTCCTTATTATTATGTGCAAATATACATAAATGTGACACAACATCAAGAGTATAGATAATATTTTTCTCCAGTTCAAAGAAGATGACAGGACCATCTCATAGTTCGACTCTGATCAATATATTTTTTACTTGATGAAACAAGAGCTTGCTTTTGACCAATCTTTTGTTGCTTGTGTCTCTAGGACAGGGTGCCCCATCTTGCTGCGCGTGCCCATTTGTTGTACATCAACACTCACAAAATGGCACCCAGTGAAATTTGAAAAAAAATTGCAAAAAAAAAGGTTTGGTTTGTCTAGTATCACAAATCGGGGGTAAAGGTGCTGAATTGTAACTTTTTTTGTTTACCATTTCAGTATGATCTTATTTAGTGATAATTTAAATGCTGACGCTACGTACGTTCGAGGATTATGTCTCTACTTTCGTGATAATTTAGAAAAAGCTTACACACATTTTCAACAAGTATTACGTTTAGCCCCAGACCACCAGCGAGCTCGACTTGCTTATAAGGTAGGTGGGTTGGATTAGTGTTGGGTGGGGTGCTTTAAGTCACTATGTATGATATTTACATCATCCCTAATGTGACCTGTAGAGTCATTATTTTGAAAAAAAGCTTAGATTGAAAACAAAATTATGTGTAAATTTCTGGTATAAAATAGAAATGTCCATGTATATACAGTCTGGATAAACAAAGAAAGACTTTTTGATCTTTCTTGTTCAGTAACTAATTGGAATTCTGCTGGTAATTCTCTTTTAATTTAGCTATTTATGAATTAATTAATGGACATGTGAGACAAACTGGTATTTTTCCAAGTCATTAGAACACCTCTACTTTCTATTCATAGAAGTATTGGCAGTTTCATTTTTATAAATGAAAATTAGGGAACCCATCTTTAAAACTGATGAAATACAACCATTTGGTAGAGTGAAACAAGATAGACTTGAAGCGTTCAAATTCTTGGCAGTATTTTTTTTTACCTTCAAGATGACAATTCAATGTATGAGTTATGAGAATGATGAAAACTGACAGGACTAGACAGCAGTCTACTAGCATCATGATTTTAAGTTGAATTGCTGGAAACCTGGGTTAATTTTGACGGATGGGAATGATTAAGTTGAATTTAATTAAATAAATTAAATTAAAGTTTTAATACCAAGTTTAGTGAATAATTAGACAACCATATCCATGGTTACTGTCGGAAAAAAAAAACATCACGTGAATATTTCATTTATATCTACATGTATGGTTATTTTTAAATTCTTATATATGTTAATATTTACATTTCTACTATCACTTCCTTCAATGAATTAGTTACGCTAACTCGCGTTATTTTTCGATAGACTGTTGTTTTTCACGTGACACTATGACGTCAAAGCATAACAACGACGCAATCTAAGTTTTGTGGAAAATTCAAGTAACTGATCATTGTTAAAATTGTTTTAGTAAATTATTGGTGCAATTGATCACACCACAAACATACAAATAACTTCATCATTTATTCAGTTTGTCACTTATTCTTAATTAAAGACAGACTTAAGCATCAAATAGAAGCAGAAGAGTATTAAATGAGATATTTAGCCACATAATATGTGACCCCGCACATCAAACCAGGTGTTTAGTAGCATTTGGTGTATGTAGAGCTATTAGTATATTTGGATTCCTGGCATCATCAGCTACATTTTGATACCAATTCCATCTCAATAGCTTTCTCCGTTCAAAAAATAATATAGTCAATTTAATATCTAGATTTGAGTCCCCTTTAATACTTCACTGCCAGCACATTACTGGGCAGTGTAACTTAATACCTGATGCCATGTGCGGGGTCAAATATATAGTGTCAGTGTCTTATAAGGTTTATATATATGTGTATTGATACTATTCCCCCTAATTTCAGAAAGCTAAACAGTTACAAGGGAAGAAGGAGGAGGGTAATGTGGCGTTCCGGGCAGGGCAATATCAGCAAGCCTACGATCTCTATACCACAGCTTTATCAATAGATCAATACAATAAATCAACCAACTCCAAATTATACTGTAATAGAGCTACAGTATCAGCTAAGGTAGGCTGGTCTACTATTTCTAGTTACACAGTGATACATCATAACTGTCTTACTGTATTAAAGTGATTGGAGAGACGTTTCCTTAACTTTTTATGTGTATCAGGGACACTGATAGCAATGAATTTGCACCATTTCAATTTTAAATGTCTATGGTTCTTTCAATTCCAATAAACTAAGCGTTTTATTACTTCACTATTGCAAATACTGCTATTGATATTAGGATCTTTGCAATAGTGAAGTCATAAAAGGTATAGGTTAATTGGAATTATAAGAACCACAGACGTCTGATTGAAAATGAGAATGACTCAAATTGATGCTTTCAGTGTCCCCAATACACATAATAAAATACTCTTTACAATCCCTTTAAGGAAGTTTTACATTTTATAGTCTGTTTTCAGTGTCCCCAATACACATTAAAAAAATACTCTTTACAATCCCTTTAAGGAAGTTTTATATTTTATAGTTTGTTTCAGTATTATGACCTACTTGTTAGAAAATGTCTGATTGATAGTTGAATACAACAACAGTGAAGAACGAATGGCTACATTGTGATTACTTCTCCTGTACAAAATCATCTTGGATGTATACAAGGATGCTTCCTCAACTATTTGTTCCATATCAAATATAACTCTTTTTCAAAGGGTGTTATTGAGAGCAGGCTTAGCCACTGTCCTGGCACCCTTTCCCTCATTGCACCCTGCATGGCGTTGCCCGTCTTCATTAACCCACGTGCAGAAAAGAAGGACGTAAAACTCCATTCATTTCATTTCGGAGAGGGTTATTTTGAATACAAAATTTAGGTCATGTCTTTGAATAGTTTTAGAATATATTTGATGTTATTATAGCTAGGTAAACATGAAGACTGTATAAAAGACTGTACAGAAGCTATAGAATTAGATAGTTCTTATGTTAAAGCTTATCTACGGAGAGCCAGAAGGTAACCATCTTAATTTTATACAAGTTTTTAAAAACCATTGTTGTACTAGTAACGTTTTATCCTTTAACCTAAATACGATGAACTCTTCTCGAAGATATGATGTTCTCATTGACTTTTAGCAAGGCTGGGGTAGCTGAATCTTACTGATCATATTCTCCATGTCCCCAAATGTCTATTTGGACCTCTTACATCGCCAGTGGCGCCTAAACTGGGTGTATAAATAATGGTCAGAGTGACTCCATGGGGGGACAACGGCCGAGGCTGAATTCAAAATGCAGCATCATAGTTACAAGCCTCGTTTGCATATGCAAACTTTCATTGCTGATTTGATATTAATATTATATTTTAGTTATATGGAAGTAGAGAAATATGAAGAGTCAGTGAGAGACTATGAAAAGATCTATAATCTAGATAAAAGTAGAGGTCAGTGTATGAACCAGTCATGTTCAAACTTTAAAAAATAATGTCAGAGCTGTAGTGACTTAATAAATTTCTCTAAACGATCTTTGTTTCTAGGATATCCTAGGCTCGTATCACTGTTTCTAGGATATCCTAGGCTCTTAGCTTTTAACACAGTTTCTGGGATATTGTAGGCTTTTAGCTTTTAACACTGTTTCTAGGATATCCCAGGGTATTAACTTCTAACACTGTTTCTAGGATATCCTAGGGTATTCTAGGCTCTTAGCTTTTAACACTGTTTCTAGGATATCCTAGGGTCTTAACGTCTAACACTGTTTCTAGGATATCCTAGGGTCTTAGCTTGTAACACTGTTTCTAGGATTTCCTAGAGTCTTAACTTTTAACACTGTTTCTAGGATATCCAAGGGTCTTAACTTTTAACACCTTTTCTAGGATATCCTAGGGTCTTAACTTTTAACACTGTTTCTAGGATATCCAAGGGTCTTAACTTTTAACACCTTTTCTAGGATATCCTAGGGTCTTAACTTTTAACACTGTTTCTAGGATATCCTAGGGTCTTAACTTCTAACACTGTTTCTAGGATATCCAAGGGTCTTAGCTTTTAACACTGTTTCTAGGATATCCTAGGGTCTTAACTTCTAACACTGTTTCTAGGATATCCAAGGGTCTTAACTTTTAACACTGTTTCTAGGATATCCAAGGGTCTTAACTTTTAACACTGTTTCTAGGATATCCAAGGGTCTTAACTTTTAACACTGTTTCTAGGGTATCCTAGGGCATTGTTTCTATATATGTTAGAACTTAAATCGCTTGAGAATATGTTGCCAGGGCTCAAAGATAATACTTTTGATTTTTCAACCCCTTGTCAGTGAGGCAGGTCAGAGGGGCTGACATGGAAAAAATATATTCCTTTAGATATGACAGTACTAACGGGTAGGCTAATCAGCTCATCAAATGTCAAACTCAGATTAAATATCTATAAATATATCGCTTTATTTGATTATGTTAGTGAATATTTGACATAAAAAGACTGTTTAAAATGAAAAAAAATGGAAAAATAACTTGCACTCTAATATGACACCAAGGCGTGTATTTTAATCAGATTAATTTCTTGTATACTTGCAGAACATAAACGCTTATTAAATGAAGCCAAGTTAGAATTAAAAAAAAGTAAACGAAAAGACTACTACAAATTATTAGGCATTGGGAAAGAAGCTACAGAAGATGAAATTAAAAAAGCTTACAAAAAACGAGCTCTTATACATCACCCAGGTAAGCTATAGTGAAATCATTGACAGGTGCTTGTCGAATTTTACACAGTTGTCACCTGTTCATCTCTGACAACATTCAGAATAAAAAATGTCAGTCCACCTAATATCAATTTAAATCAATGTACATTAAGAGAATCAACTGAACCAATAAAAGTATGAATATCTGTTTGATTTTGAAGGAGCTCCTTTGGTGCAATTTTATTCAAGCCTCCTTAAACACTGACTGCCAGTCTTGATGAATTCACTCAAAATCATATGGAAAAGTCCGTCAATACAGTGTATATTTGATATAAATGATTTGAAAACTCCATTTCATTTCACCAGTCCAATATGGTACAGAACAGTGGGATATATAAATGTGTATATATGATATATATGATCTGAAAATCACCTTGACAACTTGTGTGAGTCCATTTTAGGCCAGCGTGAATATGAGGAAGAATGTTACATTCTTATTGTAAATGAAATTTGATTGATATTACAGATCGTCATTCTCATGCTGAAGAAGAGGTACAGAAAGCAGAGGAAGTGAAGTTTAAAGAAGTGGGAGAAGCATACGGAGTGCTGTCAGACAGTAAAAAGAGGATGAGATATGACGCTGGTCAAGATTTAGAAGATTTAGATGGTGGTGGCGCTGGATTCCGTAAGTAGAACTAACCTTTTGAAGAAGCCAGTGAGTTAGACGCTTGCTCGCTAACCTGATTGTCTAGTGTTGAATCCCAGCATAGGTCGAGATAATACTTTTGGATTTTTCAACCTGGTTTCCCCCTTGTCAGTGATGCAGGTAAGAGTGGCTGACATGGAGAAAGCGTCCAGTCATTAGGATGGGACAATAAACTTAAGGTCCTGTGTGCTACAGGCTGTGCGCGGTGAAAATCGATAAATGAATAGGTTAATGCTGCTGTCCTGGCAAAATTTTCCTCATGACACTCAGCGTTGCATTCCCTGTCTTCATTAGCACAGAAAAGTAGGACTTAAAACACATTTCATCTCATTTGAACACTGAGTGTGATTAGAACAATGATGAACTCTATATGAATTTGGCTAGCACAATATCAAATTTCTAATTACTACCAGTACTTAAAATCCACTTTTACTGATTTATTAAATGATTTGAATCAGACCTAATGAGGACATATAATCCACTTTCTAGATTTCTAGCCTGTCAACTTTTGGCTTCAAGTTCAATGCCACCATTTAGTTGTACATCTTTCAAAGTGATTGTCTAATTCATTCTTGCACTATACAGGTAATTTGACTAATTCAATCCCAGTTATCTTTCAAAATTATAGGCCAATTCTATCTTGTTTTATTTCAGATCAAATGGATCCCAATCAGATATTCCAGATGATGTTTGGGGGTGGGGGTGGGGGAGGTATGAACGGCTTCCATTTTCAACAGGGAGGTGGAGGAGGAGGGCACGGGCACCCAGGGTTTAATTTTACGTTTGGTTAGAGACCCAGTTTAACAGGAGGACATATGAACATGTACTGTGAATTAAAACAACAAGGAATACAAAGGATTTTTACATCAGACCTGCATTTAATAAAGCAAAGCGTTACGTAGCGTTTGGTTCTTGACATCTAACCGAGAGCAGGGGCCTGATACTCAAAAACTTATCCACGATGAAAATCCTGATTTTAAGAAATATAATGATCTAATTGGATAATAAAACTAAATTTAAATCGATTTTAATGATTGACCAATCAAAACAACTAGAAGATGGATATCATCAGATGTTAAGGTTTTCTAGAATGAGGTCTCAAATCATGGTAAACACTCGATAACTGGAGTGAAACCCAAAATAACATAATAGTGACAATTATATGAGCTCATAAATAAAACTATGTGAAATATGAATGAATATAATGAGCTCTTGTAATTAAGAAACAGTGACAGTGTGACTTGGCCACATTTCAATGCAGCTTAAGAACGTTGAGAGAAAACTTTTCATAAATTATGGAACGACAAATTTGCATGTTGTCTGAAGTGAGTGTACATATTAAAAATTTCAACTACAGTCATACCTCAAAGTATATATTATACTCCTTCTTGTATTGTGTAGATGGTGGAAACTAGATATCAATATACAAGAAAGAAATAGACTTGGTGAAATTAGAAATGTGTTGACAACGTGTCAAAAACACAAGATAATATTATTACACAATTCTTTATACTGTATGGTCTTGTGTTTGTGAAATATACTCCTCACTTTTAACAGTGTCGTGTATTGCATTCTACTTCGAATTTGTAAATAGTGGAAACTAAACATTCAAGATGAACGAATTCGTGAACAAAATTTATTGATCAGTGAATCTGTAAAAATCAAAATAATTATTAGGTTTTAATAAACCAGACTAATGTAGCTTAATATGAATGTGGTAAATCTAATTTTCAAACACATTTAGATTAAGATTATTAAACTTATTGTCTGAGCAAAGTAAAAAGTTTTTTGAATTTTTCACATTACTATAATAGTCTTAGGATGGTTTGCTTTGATAAAAATATAAACATACGAACATATTATGTCTTCAAAAATTGTTTTTACAGAGACAATTTTCAGACAAAATTTGTGAATTTTTGGGGGTGAAATTTCTTGGAGAGAAATGTGTTTCTTTTCAATGTAAACTTACAAAAGATTATATTTTTATCAAACACATTCTAAGACAATCAGAACTATTTTGAGGATGATATTCCAATTCTCTTAAAAAAAAAAGCGAAAAAATTCAAAAAACTTTTAATTTGCTCAGATAATAGTATAGCGCTCATTAGTGCTCTAACATAAGCATTCAATGGCGTTTTACAAATTCCCCCTATGATAAATGTTGCTTGTAAATTTGTTTTTGAAAAGAAAAAGATCGAAGTTTAGAGCTGTTTTTCATCATTGTCATATCTTACTAATGTTAATTCAAGATGTTTTTTTGTTATTTTAAAATGATTTTTATTACTTGAAATGATGGGGGGGATGGGGTGGGGTAGGCTGGTGTAGGCTGGTGTTGATATGTTTTCTCTCATAATGTGTTGCGTAATGTGTTTTGTTTTATGTTAATCAAGGTTACTCATAGTTACGAAAATTAGTATGTATTATAATCGCAATCGTATTTCCTCAAACTCCTACTTTCATTTTCCTATCTTAGTCCTCGAAACAACTCCTACTGAGAATTATATCTTAAGAACGTATTTTAGTGACAATCATAGTTCATCAAGCTTCTCGTCTAGAATTAACTTTGCCAAATTGTACACCAGTCATAAGATTCTGAAGTAACGACTCCCTACTGAGGATTTTATTTTTTGGTCATTGAGCCTGTAAATTTTCAAGCTTATTGCCTGAAGCATTTTTACTTTAAGATTATCGTTGATTAACTCTGATTGGTCGATGTTATTGCAGAGATAATATCAACCAATCAGATTTCTAGATTGTGATCACATTGAAAAAACATAAACAAGAAAACAAAGAAATCTGTTTGATGTTTAAGTAGTTATAATATTAACCAATGTGATATCTAGCCAGTTGTCATCGTTTTCATTAACCCACATGGTGCAGAAAAGTAGGACATAAAACTTCATTCATTTCATTTCATTTCTAGCTTGTTGTCAGAAATATCATAACTGAGACATTTGATTGGTTGATACTATTATAGCGGTGATATTAACCAATCAGATTTCTAGATTTCTAGCCAGTTGTCAGAAATATCATAACTGAGAAATTTGATTGGTTGATACTATTATAGTGATGATATTAACCGATCAGATTTCTAGATTTCTAGCCTATTGTCAGAAATATCATAACTGAGAAATCTGATTGGTTGATACTATCATAGTGATGATATTAACCAATCAGATTTCTAGCCAGTTGTCAGAAATATCATAACTGAGAAATTTGATTGGTTGATACTATTATAGTGATGATATTAACCAATCAGATTTCTAGGCTGTTGTGAGAAATATCATAACCTTAAGATAATGATACAAATAGAGTTTTGAGAACACTAATGGGTGGATGCTGCAGACCAAACCAATCCAATTGCTAGGTTGTTGAGAAACACCCTAACCTTAAAATAATTGTAAATATACAATAATAAGAATTCTGATTGGTTGATACCATTATAGTGATAATATTTACTAATCAGATTTCTAGTTTGTCAGAAGCATCGAAACTTGAGAATATTTGTAAACATGAAATATAAGAGATCGGATTGGTTGATACTATTATATTGATGATATTGACCAATCAAATTTCTAGTTTGTTGTCAGAAGCATTGTCACTTATATATATTCGTAAATTGCAATACCAAGAAATCCAGTTTGTAACATTGTAACTCAGATATCTGGAAGTCAATGTCAAGCTATTAAATCTTTGCCTAGACCTTGACTCTAATAGCCACTTTTCATCTATCACAGAAGTTTGCAAATGCAGCAATTGATTGTACCCCATCGAATACAGCCAATCAAGAGTTTTCGAGAGAAAGTCTTAAACGCTTAAGCCATAATGTTTACAGTATTTCTGTCGAGGGCTCTGATTGGCTGTATTCACTAGTGTACATTCCAATCAAAACACTGCATTCCATGATACAAGAAAGGCAGCTATTTTATTCTAGGTTTAAGGCCAGGGTCGTAATAGCTTGATATTGTGAAGACAGAGAGTGGTAAGTTACAAAATTTATGACAATAAGCTGAAGGATATCTGTAATGGCATCTCTCTGAAATGTCATCCCCCTGAAATGTCTGGCAATGAAGATTATGAATCAAGATTCCTGATTATGTATTAACTGTTGGTAGTATATTTTATATTGAGTGTAATGTAGAGTAATGTAAATATCTCCGTATCAAACACATGTTTATTTTATTCTGTACATAATACTATTAATAAATTTTGGAATAAATTATAATTCAAGACTTTTTATTTTGTACCCTGGAAAAGAGGTGCTCAGTCAGCCCGTCGTTAGGGTGGGGTCCGTGGGGGCTGGACCCCACCAAATGAGAATTAAGCCCCAGCAAAACCTTCAGTTCAGCATTGATTCATTTACAGTGTCTTTGTAATAAATCAAAAAGATATAGATTTTGATAAGTTTTTGGTGCCTAAAAATTGTCAGAAATGAGTTCTCTGGGCGTTTAATTCTTCAAATTTATTCCTGGCGAAGGTCTGACCCAGTGATGGTGCAATCCTCTTGGAATTGGGAGTACAAATAGGGGACAGACTGACTTAATAGGGGGACAATTTACAGGGATGAATCCCACTGAGAGTATGAAGGAGTGTTCCTTTGTAATCATTAACTTACCTTCTGGCACTGTTCGATTACATGCCCCACTATTACAATGTAAAAACAGTGCCGAATTCTCTTGGTTGAGGAGGACCTGAGTAACCTGTAATTTTATTACTCACAGACTAGTATTTACATTGTAACTACAGCACTGTCCTGGTCCCATTAAGTGTAGAGGGAAATGATCCCCCCTTCTCCATCAAGCTACAACATTACTGTAATTTACGTGAGAATTTTATTATCACCATCTGTCTCTGTAAATTAGACTTCCCTTGCTTATACTAAAAATATTTAAGAACCACTGCTTAAAGAACCCTTGACAGGTAGAAATTGAAAAAGAGCAGGCTGATGTCGCTGTCCTGTCAAAAATTTCCCGCATTGCACCCTGCATGGCGTTGCCCGTCTTCATTAGTCCGTAGAAAAGTAGGACTGCATTTCATTTCATTTTACTGTTTAAAGAATGTATCTATTGGTATTAATACGATATCAACTGATGAATAATTAGTTATACAAACATACATAATAAAACCCCTAAAAACACTTCATAGTGCAATGAATTTTATTATATACATTACATATCATAATACAAGAGAGAGTAATAGATACGATATAAAATACATAGTTTGAATATTATATCAGATATCGTAATGGGACAACCTGATTGATCACATTCAATCATAGTTCAGCAGTGGCATATTTAGAGTATGGCCATTGAACCATGTCCCCCACCCTCTTAGGGATTTTCTAGATGCGCCCCTGTAGTTTAGCAAACAAACATAAATTTAACTTCCTCAGTCCAAATATTTGCATTACCATAAAAATGTGAATAGTTAAACAGCTGAAATTAAGCTCAAATAGCTGAGGATGCAAATTCTATGAACGAGTATCTGAAAAAGGGATATCTTTATCCAGATACTATACCATATTAACCGGGCATTACAGTGCATAACTCACAGTTGACGAAGCATTGATCAAATCCCGTAATACGGAAACATTACAATGCCGTTGTCGTTAATATTTTAAACATCAAATTTAGACAGAGATTGTCATCAAATTACCGCTCTATTTCTCTACAACGGCTCCCCAATAAATATTACCTGGTTGATCTAAAAATAACTTCATTGAAGTGTCGTAGGTGAACGT